TTGTGCGGGAGGTCGAGGGTTCGAGCCCCGGCCGGACCAACACTCAAGGTCTTAAAATAATTGAGAAGAATATGCTACCTTTCTATAACATCAAGAAATGGTTAGATATTCTAGTCTTCTCGGATAGGGAAGAATAAATGGAGGTCCCGTCTCCTACAGGGTTAGGGGTAGAAGACGTTAATTTCCCACGCATGAGATTATTGCGTGATGGATGTCCTCCCCTGGGGTGGGATGTGCGGGTTAGGATTGATTGTAAAGCGCTGTTGATCTGTCATTGTAAATAGCGCTCTAAAAGTGATAAATTGTTGTTGTTGTAAACAGATTTCGTTGGAAAGACCATCGATGGATAACATATCTCATGACCTATTTTTCCTTGGGTCGAAAAGTGGTAAATAAGGGAAAACAGTGCCCCTACGGTACCCCAACTCAGTATTTTTCCGATATCCCAACTCCCCATTGCCCAAACTGTTAATTAACTATCAAACTGCTTCAGACCATCCCAGGTCCGAAAGTGGAGTGAGCATTGAAAAGGGAGAAAGAAGGTCGTGCGGAAAATCTCGTAAAGTGCGCTCTTATCGGGCCTTTCGTCGGTTTCCTATCGACCCGATGCCATTTTGAAAACCGAGAAATCCCTGGAAAGAGGTTGATGGCAGGTGCGTCGCAAAAAAGGCGCGAAAAATAAAATGGCACAGCGAGTGCAGCGGGCAAAACGTCGCGGCCACAAGAGAATCTTCCATGTTTCTCTTCACAATTTTTCGTTCGAGGATTTAACAACAGAGCCAAATATTGTTTCAAGTAAGAATTCTTCAGAGCTGTCAAAAGCAGAAAACTTTCCTAGGCGAAACTCTAGGACAATTATCGGATAGTTTTTACAATTAAATTTTTCAGTAATGAATAATCGACCCGGCAGTAACCTTAGCGGTAAGTAGGGCTTTAATTTGAAACAGTTGTTCGCAAAATTCAGCTCGCAAGACATCTGAATGATAAAGAATTTATGTGAACAGTTACACGAATCATACTTGCAGGGCGAATAGTGCCAATGTTTGCTTTAAATAACAAGAAACGATTAAGGCAGGCCTTGTACGCGAATCCAACAACAGACACCTTTGAAGACTCTTCAGCAGTCATGTTAGACAGTGCTGGAAGTGGATGCCTAGATGCTAGTGGAGCAACAATACCACAGAAACGTTTTTCGCAACTTCAAGGGCTGAATTCTTCAAACAAGGAGAAAAATGCTGTCGGCAGTTCCTCTTTAATGCAACAAAACCATAAGTCGATTGGTAGTGGTGGTAAAATTGAAACTTCGCGGCCATTCATTGGACGTTACTATGGTACTAATCAAGGAGGAGCACAAGTTCGCCAGCCGATAAAACAACAAAGCTATTCCATTCTCAACAATAGTATGGACTCCCCAACAACTAATTCTTCGCCCAGTAATAAGACGGCCAGGTTTGTTTTCTAGTTTTCACTTGTTTGTTTTTGGAAAAAAGCTCTAATTAGCGCATTTTCGAATTAACAAGAGTTTCATCTTTTGTGGGCAACCGGAATGTCAAATTAAAATGCGAACTTTATTATCCTTTTTTTCGTATTTACAGGACTCTGCAACACCAGCCGGTCAAAGTTTTTCAAGGCCCTGGTATAAAAGTTGAAAAACAAAATATGACCAAACAGAGAAGACCAGATCTACAGGATCAGAGTTTTCAGTCCAAGGTAGAGCAATATTTAGTCTACCTCAGGTTTACCGGTAGTCTAGACCATGGCTTTACAGGATTTCTACAAGCGGAAAAACATTTTCACCTAAAAAGTACATCAAGTGTCAAATGGAGTGGAAAAAATTGTGCCGAGGGATAACTGCAATTTTTAAGTACCATTTTTCAAAGTATTCACCAACATAAGTAATCCATATGACAGCTACTTTATAACTTGCCTCAGACTTTATCACCTCTTACTGTCTTATTTGCCTTTCGTTTCTTTGTTTTCTTGCTAAACCAGATTAATATGGATACCCCTTTTCTTGTGTGCCATTTCTTGAAAAAAGAGCTCCCACAAATTAAAGAAACTGACCCAATGGGCCCTCTTTATCAGTTTTCCAAAATAAACCCTGCTACTTTTAACTGTTTACCTATGGAAGGTCCACAAGCTCTGTAAGCATGTGTTTTAGAGTCTTCATAGGACAGGAAGCTTTACAAATTAGCTGCTACAAATAAATTATAATCCTGGGGAGCCCTCCACTAAGTTGCTAAGAAAGATTTTTTTTCTATAACAATGCTCTAAAATTCATTCATTACAGGAATGGTCCACTAAACAAATGAATCTCATGGCCTATCCAATAGACAAGTCTCTCAAGTTTTTAACAGCCACAGTTCAAAGTGTTCTTAAGTGGAAACAACATGAAGACAAGGTCACTTCAATTTACGAAGTGTTTGGTGAGAACTTTACTTCCTTTACTAGACTAGACTTTCCACTGTCCCCATTATTATGACCTGAATGTGTAAATTTACTCTTATTAGAAAAGGTAGACTATTCCTTTAACTTCTACAATGAACAAATGTATCCTTAGGAATACTGGACTCACAAGTTTCCTTGAATGCTGCTGGTAATGGAAAAAATTTCATTATCAAAGACAAAACTGGAATTCTGAGGTAATTTGTGATGTCAACTAACTTTAAAATTACATCTCACAAGTTTTTTTTGTTTTGCTTGACACACATTGACTGACAATTTTCTCCCTTTGTTTAGGTGGACTTTTTGGGAAATGGTAAGCATACCTCAATGAAAAATCTACACAGTTAAAGTAATCCCTGATATAAACTTTAAAAATAAGGGAATTTTCAATGAGAACAGTGTTGTTGACTTTTTTTTTGAGGATCGCCAACTTCCAAGGTTAACAAGAGGCCAAATGCACAGGTGATTCAGTCATTATGTTACATTGTGTTAATTCAAGACCAAAATTTAAAAAAAAATTAATCTGCTCTTCCCAAATCTAAAGCTTACACTAAGCTTTTGAACATCTAGAACAATGACATAAAATAAAGGTTTTTTTTTTGCTTGTGAACTACACGATACTGAAAGGTGTTTAAAGGTTTTATGCCTTGGGATTTCCCTCAATGAAACTTGATGAGTTAATAGAGATATTAAGAAATATAACTGTATGTTGTTCAGATAATAAAACTTAACAAAATTCATATTTTTGAAAGGTGTGTAGGATTCTTGGACAAAAAAAGTGGAACTTTTAATTGTGTGTCCATCAGACCAAGCAAGCAGACAGAACTGCTATGTATGGCAGACTTCTTAAAAGGATCAGAGTTGGTTATGCAACAACAGCTAGCCACCTTCAAGGAAGATTGAAAATTGGAATAACTAACCATTCAGGTCAAATGAGTTTTATTAACTGAATCTCCAGAAAATAATGAATATTCTTCACAAAAGGCTGACAAATATACAGCTGAGATGATTTCTACCAATGATTTGCATTTTTACTTTTGTTGCTACTTAGTTATATTATTACCCTCATTATGACCACAAAATTAAAGCGAAAAAATGTTTTATCATGGCGTGTCAGATATTGTGAAAATGTCTATACAGCTTAGAAGTAAACAAGAAATATCTTCATATGTGCCTCTACTTGTTATCTATCCCATAACTATTGATTACACTTTCAAAATGGCAAATCTAGTATTGTTTATCAGCCACATGGAACTCTGATAAGGCTAATTACTGGTTGGTTCTGTCCCTTGTTCTGTAAGTAACACCTCTTGCCTTGAGTTCCCGTACTACATGACCTGGAAGTTTACCACTCACAGATATTGCATAGCAGCCTCTTACTAATGTATCTAGAAAAAGGAATACATTTCATAACTTTCTGATCATTCAGAAATGGTTGACAAATATTGATCTAAGTTTAACAGATATACCAAACAAAGAAAATCAGTTAGACGACAATGAAATTTCATCATTTATTGAAGAAAATAGAAACAGTAACACAACAATGTGCCAATTGTGTTACACTTTGTATACTTCTGTAATGCACTCCCAATAAATAAATATCTGCGAAATTTCCCCGCACTTAAATAACAATTTGGCATTTGGATAATAAATAACTTATTAGATGTTTTGTTGTGTAGTATTGCTGAGTATTTTTACTTGTTATTTGTATCTTGACTTGCCCTAAGGGCTAGTCAAAATACGGCTCAGTTCATAAAAATACTCAGGGATACTACACAACAAAACGTCTAATAAGATATAATTACTGTGACATTTACTGTTAATAGATATTACGGTATATGTCAAGTGAATTGGCTCACCAATTCGTTGCCACCTTGCCACCCAGCTGTCTTCTGGTGTCATAAGGGATATAATTCTAAAGATTAACAAACAAAAAAATTATCCTTGTTATAAACTGATCTCTAAATAGGCCTTCCTAGACAAGCCAACTACTTTGAAATAATTTTAACCTGAATCATTTCAATTTACAGCTTTGTTCTTTTGATAGGCTAATACTTCATCAAACATGATCAAAAGGATATTTTTCCCTAATAAATCAAACTGAACTTGACACAGAGGGAAAGTACTACAGTCTACAAAGATATATCATATCAGCATTTAAACTCTTAGAAAGTTATTCAAGATATAAGACAGTCTACTGCTATAATCTGAGTGATTGATAAATGTTCTTCCATGGTATGAAAGAAAATGGAAAAGAAGCATTTTTAACAATAATGCAAAAATCAATTGAAATTTGTTTGACTTGAATATCAGAATTTTCAAGTAACTCTCAATTATTCACATATGTTTGTATCATGGTAACCAAACATAGCCCAACCACATTTAAATGTCTGAAATTTTTTGGAAGCATTTCTTCTCTTGTCTTCAACATGGGTGCTCTAAAACATTGGAAGCAACCAATTGGTTAAAGACAATTGAGGTATACTTGAATGGATCAGTTGTTAGTTATTACCCATCAAAGTTTGCACTTGTACATGTAAGGATATTTTCTTTGTTGTTTTTTAGTCTGAGGAACTTTTCACAATTATCACAGCCATCATATTCAAACTGCTCTAAGGTCTGAAAGAAAAAATTCAAAGTAAATGCAAGGATAAAACCAGCTTCTAGGTTTTACTGGTTTGACATTTTCCACATATGGCATTAAATCGATCATTCTGAAGACACTTAAAAGTCACTACAAACCGAGCGATAGCACTAATATTAAACGGCTGAAATAGGGAATGATCGATGGTTTTTTGGGTCGTTCTCTAGTACTGCTAATGTGATTTTTGGCATTAAGGTTAAGCGAAAAAACAAACTAGTTTAGATTGTGAAGTTTTAACTACCACCTCGTGACTTTCTTTAAAAGCTTTTCGATACCAGAATGCTCATTTTTGCGACAATTCTGTGGAATATCGTAAATATAAATCACGATTTAAATATAGTGAATACAGTTCACGACTAAAATTTCTTACCTTTACCAAAGAACACAGAAGACATGCTCGAAGATTTCTTAACTCTTTTGGAACGCTCTCCATCTTGTATTCGAGCTTTTCGTTCCCAGATCTCTTAAGACATTTCAGCCTTTTTCCGCGTTATCTGTATCATATAAGAGCACTTGAAGTATTCAACACACCTGGACATGGCCTCTCGTGACGAAATCTACGACGTGTGTGTGGTGGGGGCCGGTATAGAGGGAAGTTCAGCAGCTCGATACCTTGCTTCGAGAAAGAAAAAGACTCTCCTCTTGGAACAGGTACATGCAAATGTCTTTCCGAAGCTGCTCTTACATACCACTTCCAAGATCGGACAACAATTGAATAACATACCAAGCACAACATCACTAATGATTTGTTTACAAATAATGAGATTCTCATAGTATCTGATGATATCTCAGATTCTTGCAATTGGCATGAGATCTCGTTAATTGAAATTTACTCCAAAGTTCTTTACGTTACAGTTAACACAATTTCTGATTCTAAAACACCTGTGATAACAAATCACCTGACTCAAGTTTTGTCATAAATCTATTAATGCCAAATAAATCACCATGGTTTAGTTTTCCATCTTACCTTTCCAAGTAAGATTTCTTTATAGCCCCTTACTATTCTAAAACAAACCTGTCGTCCCAAAGGCAATCTATTGTTTTGCCATTCATACCATTTTAAAACAAAGCTGTAGTCCTTAAGATAATCTATTGTTTTACTAAAAGGACTATTTTCTTCCAGCCAAGTACTGTAAGCATAATGAAACATGGGATCATAAGAAAATCTTGCCCTTTTCCATCTCTCTCCTTGATTTCTCTCTTACCCTGTACACAACACTCGAAAGTCAAGGGACCTTTTTATCATTTACTTTGGGAAGTTGACATGTCCTTTTCTTGTGATTGCATTAGACTTCTGTCATGACAGGTTAAGAGCTTTTTTCCTCTCGTATTTCAGCATCATTCTTTTGTAACATGATATATCACAAAAAGTAGACAAGGTGCTAGATTTACTCTGCATATAAACAGTAATAAAAAATTCATATATTTTTGGCAGCTTCTTTGGGTGATAGGAGAAAGCCTCTTTCTTCATCTTATCTAATATCTTTTAAGCTTTTCCTTCTATGTCTGAATAGGAACTAAAATGGGAAAACAGCAGTGTTAAAAGGGTACCATTAAGTATACATGAATATTATTTTAATAAAGAATTGTTCACTTTTTTCAGTTTCCTCTTCCCCATGCGCGTGGAAGCTCACATGGTCATAGCAGGATTGTGCGCTATGGTTATCCAGAAGATTTTCACGTAGCATTGATGCCAGAGGCCTTTGAAATGTGGAGTGAAATTGAAAAGAAATTTGGAAAACCCCTTCTCAAGTTTGTATCTTGTTATTTTCTAAGTTTTCTGTAAAATTAAGATAATTACATGGCTTCAAATGTTTTTAAAGGAAAAGAAATGAGATCTAGAGTATGTATTTCATGACCTTATACTAGTGGCTGATCTAAAGGTCTGCACACACAAAGGGACTTGTCCCTGCAACTAGTGCCCTGAAGAATTTACATGAAGGGACAGGTCGCAGGCACTAGTCCATAGTAGTGTTTACACATGGGGACCAATTGCACAGGAAAGTAGCAAAAACTGGGGGCAAATGGTATCATTCTTTTATTCTGTAGCTTTCTTAAGAAACCAAAATTATTAAAATTATAGCAATTTAGCATTGAAATAAATCAGCTCAGTGCAAACTGCAAATTGTTAAGTGAAATTATATTCAGTGTTTGAATTGTTTCTGATTCAGTTCAGATATTAGCAGAAAATAACGCTTTCAATTGTTACTTATCAGATGTGGCAAATACAGAAAGAAAAAGGTGCGAATATTCAATCAAGATTTCCAGTACTCATGTAAATTATTTCAAAACTGGTTGAATCAAGGGAGGAAGCATCAAAGAATTTATCCCAGAAGTCACTCAGTCGTTTCTGTACATTGTGATACCAAACTATGATTGGTTTATTTTAATTTGGTTGCAGGGACTTGTTCCACAAACAGTTCACGTAAAGCATTTTGAGGAACAAGTCACAAGGACTTGTCCCAAAAATTCAAATCAGTTTGAGTTTGTGGGACTAGTTGCAGGGACCAAAGGTTTAGTCCTTGCTACTAGATTTTATGGGAAAAATGACTAGTTTACACAATGGGACTTGTTCCCATGACTTGTTGCAGGGACTGGTCCCCTCATATGTGTTGACCGTAACAGTTTGTTGTGGTAATATTGTGTTGGGATGTTCCATGTCCATCACTTTTCATAAGATTGCTTTCTTTGATCTTTCACTTGGAATTTAATCACCAGATAAATATATACATGATTGGCATTAGATTGTTTCCAATAAATTTTTCTGAAAATAAATGGTTGACAGTGCATGTGGCAATCCTGAAAGATGATGTGGGGTGATGTGGGGTGATGTGGGGTGATGTGGGGTGTTGTGGGGTGATGTGGTAGGTCATGGTTCCTTTGACCTCAGGATTTTAGGGAGATCTGAGAAAATGTCACTGCAAAGACAAGGCTTAGCAGGTTTGATTGATTGTTTGATTGATTTCACTCATGAAAATTCATTGATTCCCTGATACTTATTTTATGTTTCAAGATTGTTGCATGGACTTTTGTCCTTTTTTCTGACAACCTTACTTGAAACAGCTGTATACATACTTGCTATCACAGCCAAGTTAAGCTTTTTGTTGGTTCCAATCTCTGCAATGAAGTTTTTCCTCCTTTGGCACTACAAATTCCAAATATTTGACCCATAATCATGTGATGGAAAACCAGCCTTTTGTTGATTGGTTGATTTAATTGTTTGTTTGTTTATTTATTTGTCTGTTTAAATGATTATTAAGTCTGTATAGTTTCTTTTTTCAGGAGGTGTGGTTTATTAACAATAGATGAACCTCCCTATGCAGATGTAGCACGGGTAATAACTAACGTACAAGGTGTAGGTCAGGAATGTATTCCACTATCATCTGATGAGAGCAGCAAAAGATTTCCAGGTTTAAATATATCCCCAGATGAGTCTTGTGCTCTGGAGCCCGGCAGTGGATTAATTGATGCCAATAGTGCACTTAAAGCACTGCAGGTAGGTATTGGATTAACTCTATATATTTTAAATATCGAATAAAAATGTTCTCTGATCCAGATATTTGGAGACTGTTAACATCATGGTCATAGAATCTTACTCCATGTTAAAATGGAGAACCAGACTTATAGCGGTAGGTGCCAGTAGGGCTTTAAGACATGGCTATTTCTTCTTGGTTTCCTTACTCTGCATGCTTCAACTCCCAAGATCTGATTGTGAATTCCCCCCTCTAGCTGCTACACATTTTCATGTAAATTGGATGCAAGAATTTGGTGTTCAATCAAGGTAACAACTACTATCAGATAAGTTTGAGTATTCTCACCACCTGTTTACTGGATTGTTTGGATACTATAGGAAGAAGTTACATGTTAATCACTTCTGGGAATTGAGAGGGTTAAGGAGGCAATGTGGTCAAGTGGTTAGGACATTCGACTTGTAATTTGGTGGTCCTGGACTCAAACCCTCAACACTACTACTCACTGAATTTGTTCTCATTTGCTCAAGTTCAACTCCTTTACTGCACTTACTGTCACTTATGATCATTTAAAAACACTATCACAATGGTTTTTCATTCATTCGTATTGACCCTGAAAAACCCTATTGGGGAAGTGGTAACTTAAGTATACATACATACATACATACCATACATACATAATGTGTGGTAGGCAGAAAAAAACAACTACATATACATCCCTTTTTCTGCCTACCACACATTATATCTGCTCTACTATTTGTATTGAGCACTGTTTCATGGACATCAAGTTTAATCCCTCCACATACATATATACATACATACATACACACACACGCACACACACACACACACGCACACACACACACACACACACACACATACATACATACATACATACATGCATACATCCATACATACACCTGCTTGCCACATCACGCATCAAATTTATGCTATGTCAAAAAGCCTAAGGAAAAGGGATTCCTGTATATAGTACCTCAGTCCCCAAAGTTACCAGTTCTAACCCTGTACATGAGACCACCAGAGCATTTCCTAGGTTAGAGTAAATGAGTGTGGTGAAATTAAAACAAAGCAATCACAACAGCAAATCAAAAAACAGGCAGCTACGTGAAGAGGAGAAATGCAAGTGACTAGATGCTGATTGGTTCTAGTATTGAATTGGACTAGTTAAAAGGGTGCTGCTGTTTCTGGACCAATCATAGTGTAAAGTGGAGCAAAACCAAAACAATCCCACACTCCTTTAAACACTCGTTTGAAAATTACTGTAAGCAGCACGAGGTAATGAGGAGTGCTACAACTCCACTCGCATAATGAGCTATTTCATTGCTGTTTACCCCTTATTCTCTACCCCGCCCCCCTACAAAAGCTTAAATCTCCCTCAAAGTTCGCTTATACCCATTTTTTGTTACAGTTATCAGTTAGTTGATGCATTATGATTGGTCAGTTTAGTGTGCTGTATTTAACTGTATAGCCTGCTAATTTCAAATTGAAAGGTTTGTTTGAATTGAAATCTCTCCTCTCTATTTGAACCAAGAGAAATGATAAATATCATACTACCAGTAACCCTGATTTTCTTATAAGTCTGTTTTATAAGTTATAGTACTTTGAACTTTTCACTCAGATTTATGGCTTGTGCACTCAGCACCTGAGTCATAATTCCGAGCAGAAAAAACTTGGTCTGTAAACTACAGTAAAAACCAAGAAAACAAAGTTAGTAAGAAGTATATACTCCTTGCTGTAGAAGAGAAACACTGTGGGCAATTTGTGGTTTGCCCAAGAACATGACATATTTACTTGACTAGGATTCAAACCAGACATCTCCATTTTCAGTTCAGTGAGTTGCTATACACAAGGACATCTCTACATATCAGTTACGGAGGAGATCAACTGTTCAAATAAATGGCTTTGGTACATGTTCCTGTGAACTATTTCTAACATAGCCTGCATATTGTATTATTTTGCAAGGAACAATTTGTGGAATTTGGTGGAATTTTGTGTGACAGGGAGAAAGTGTTGGATATTGAGCCAGGCTCTGTGGTCACCATTAAAACAGTCAACAACACCTACAAGGCAAAGAGTGTTGTCATCACTGTTGGTGAGATATATTCTGAAAGATTTCTATCATACAAAATCTTTTGAAACCTTTTTTTTGAACTTTCTGTAGTGTTGAAAATGTTATCTTAAAAAAATCACTCTTACTTAAATTGTGATTATTTTGATGTGGTTTGCAGGTCCTTGGGTGAACAAGGTTCTTAATCCTCTTGGTGTTACAATACCTCTTAGCGTAAGTTTAGGACAATTCTTTTGCTTTATGAGGGTTTCTTGGTCGACTCTAGGTCCATTTATAAGCATTTGAGTTGAAATAAACAACTGATCAAGAACCAATGTCTGCAGTACCTCAAGAAAACATTTTGAAAACTGGTGTGCTCAATATACTATACTCAAAGCATTTTCTTCTCCTAAAGTTTAATTTTTGGAATATTCCATTATTTCATGTTGATCATGTTAAATGTTACATGTACAATAACTGCTTTTATTGAAAAAAAAAAATTATTTGGGACCCCCAAAGAGCAGGTATCATACGATACCTTACCTTACCAAATCAGCACCTCTCTGTAATGACCATGCCTGTTTCCCCAATGAAGCCATGTTAGAGAAGTTAACTGTAAATGTTGATTGCTTCTTTTTTGGATGATTTTTTTTAGATACAAAGGATGAGTGTTTGTTACTGGCCAGTTACTGAACCCCATCTCTACTCTGCTGACAAGTTTCCTGTCTTCATATTTTGTACTCCTCTTGGACAAAGAGATACTCATGTTTATGGGTTTCCAGTAAATGAGTATCCTGGACTTATAAAGGTAAATTTACACCAGTTAAAAAGCAGAGTTTTGAGTGTCCTTATTATTTCAGGATTTCTGATGTTTTGGTTTCACCAAACTTTTTGGTTTGGCCAGTGATGAAACACTTTTCAATATTAAGTTTAAAAAACAAATAATTACAATGAGGTAGCATGCACACAGTGTGCAGTACCATCAGGTACAGATTGTTAATGAGTAGAGATAGACTGTCTTGGGGAAACTCGATTATGGATAAGACTCCTGTCCAGTCCAAGAGGGTTAAGAATATTCCTAGTTACCTCATGCTACATAATATTGTTTTTTTTTTTTATGGACTGGGATGCCATCCAGGAAGAGTAGTAATACAAAGTACACCTATGCTACACAAACCACAGTGCAAACCCCTCTAAATCTGCATATGCCAGACCTTTTGATGTGGAGCAGTCATATCTGCCACTTTGATTGAACAAATCCCGAGTGAATATGTTTTTGATACATGTAGATATGTCCTCATAAAGGTACAGAGATACCCAGTCCTGAACTCAGAGATTCTGGTGCACCAGAAAAGGACCTCAATGTTCAATTTACAGCTGAGGTTATTAAGGCTCATTTTCCTGGTGTGAAGCCAGAACCAAGCATTGTGGAGTCATGTATTTATTCAGTAAGTTTATAGCCTTAAATTAAGCTTTGTTTTAGGTCCAGATCCAGGCACTTAGTTAGGGGTCCAGGGGTGCCTGTTTTCCCTTGCCCCTCACTTGTTGAGGTAATCTTTTTTAGCCAGTAACAAATAAATCTTAACCATCAAGTTTCCAAGAAATTGCATCAATCCAAAGATTCTATGTGACCTTAATATTTGTCAGAGCAAGACACTCCCTTTGCCAATGCTGGATAAATATGAGCCTGCTGATAGACAAGAAGAGCAGCAGTATAAGCCATACTATTCATAACATTGACCCCCCCATCTCCCCCTCATGAATAAGCTATGTCATAAATCTACAGCCAGGAATTTTTTTTGTTTTTTGCTGTCTGAAGGTTACTCCTGATCATCTGTTTGTGATGGACATGCACCCAGAATTTAGGAATATTATAATTGGTGCAGGCTTTTCAGGTAAAAGAGAAGGAACAAATGGGTATTTGATTTAGAGCAGTAGTTTGGGTGTTTATAAGAGGGAACAACATGCATGTGATCATTGTCAAACTATGACAGACACAAAATAAACTCAACAATGAAGGCGTGGGCTTAATTAAACAGGATTTTCATCCATCTTTTCATCTCCTTGAGGGAACAAAAAATAATTTTACCACAAAAGCTTAAACAACTTTCGAGAAGAAATATCATCGGGGGGGATATTGTTTAATTAATCACCAAATATTCAGAGCTACAATCAGGAGCAATGTATCTTCGACAATGTAAACAATTGATATTTAGATGTAAGCAGTGAAAAGGTGAGGATGTTTTTCACTACAACCATTACTCTCACTGGGTTTTTAAGGTCACGCCATGTTTTATTTTAATTATTGCTTTTGGACAAAGAGGGGGTCAAATGCACCCTTTGACCCCACCCTTCATGTAATATTTCATTGTGTCACCGCTTTACAGGTAATAGAAATTCCAAGGTAAGAAGATAATGACAGCTCAAAGTTATTTGAAAAACTCTTGCTGCCTGCTCCCATCACAGTTGATGATGAAAAATATCAGCTATTATTGTTAACTGTTCTACAAGCAGGCAATATTTTCTCGTTGTTGATTGTTTAATTGACAGGGCATGGTTTCAAAATGGCACCTGTAGTGGGAAAGATCCTGTCACAGATGGCTCTTGGTGAGAAAGTATCGTATGATGTCCTGCCTTTTAGGCTGTCCAGGTTCAAAAGCTTTGGAAGAAGTAAATCTTCACTGTAGAACGCTTCAAACAGCAGCTTTCCTTTTGAGTGTGAACTGGACTGATTTCAGGCATGAGTTTGGACAATAAGGGATTTCTTTTAGAGTAAAAAGATCTTGATATAATACAAATCACGTGAATTTTGTCATCGATCAGTTTGTAGCCGAGTGTTCTGTCAGCAGTAAGTCAGTGCAAAACAAAGAGTGGGACGCTTTTACCAGGAAGTTTTTATTTTCATTCGATACGATTATTTACACCTGAGGGAGCTACGTTGTGATTTCAGAATCTCAAAAGTTTAAGATGGTGAAATCTACTTAATTCCGTTTAAATCTTTATATTTTTAGCCCTTTCATTGATTTTTATGAATTTTACCCTTCCTGACTAAAATGTGCCAACAAACAATACTAATGAAGATTAACATATTCTCATATTAAAATGTGCTTAGAACGTCGCTCATCGGAGCAATCGATCATTAAATCGAGGCTCTTTACTTGGTAATAGGTTTGATCTTACGGTGGACCGTTTGAAGATTTAGGAAATGTCAAGTGTAAGAAAGAATTACCTGTTGTAGACTCATAGAAAATTTAGTGAATCAAAACGGTTGGGTCATCCTCGGTGTAAACACCTGACGAGGTTTTCTCTGTTTCATGAGGTATTGTTTTGCGGTACGCTATTGTTTATAATGTTTTGTTGTCTTTGTTTTACGTCACTGGTGAGCTTCACAGGTTTTTACACCGAGGATGAGCCAAACGGTTAGTAAGAACAAATACAAAAAAGTTGTAAAACAGTGGAATGTGGCACGACTTACTTTATAGGGTTTACGATTTAAACTAACTAGAGTGCTTTTAAATCGAGTTTAATCAAGTAAAACCTCGAGTGATCACAACAGCCAAACATAATAAAGATACCGAAATAAATCAAGGAACCACAGGGAAGTTAAGGTAAACACGCGATCGCTCTAAGGCCCAGGAAAACGCGAGCTAGCAAGTCGCCATTGGTTTTAGTTTTCCCTATGATTAGTTCAGAGCATGGAGAGCGCTTTCTGGACAAATCACAGAGCGATTCTGAATAGCACATTTCTGTACCAAACCTGACTTTGTCGAGTTTATTCCGTATCGTCTTCCTCTTCAGTCAAATCTGACTGTGTATCAGCTGTTGAGCTATATTGACTCGTTAATTCACTCTCGGTCAGATCTCCGCTTTTCGCTGGTTCTTCCGAAGGTGCAACATTAGAAGTCGAAATATCAAAGTTATCAACGTCTTCTTCGTGAGGTGTGGGGCTCCTGGCAAATTCTGATTCATCCGCAACACTTGACTGTCGAGAAGAATAGAAGTCTGATTCACCTTCTGTTGCGAAATTACTTTCGTCATCTGCGTACAGCACATCGTCCTCACTAACGCTGCGATGTAAACCATTCGCCTCTTTCAATTTGGGTATCTTTTTTCCTTTTGTTGCCTTCTCGTCGAGTAAATTTTCATCCTTTTCAATTGTATCGGTTGACGTATTCCCAGGCTTAAGCGTTCCCAGCTTTTTTAACAGCTCTTCATTCTGTAACATCAGCTGTTTCGCTTTCTGTTGTTCCTCCATGGCGAAATTGTTCGCTATCATTACAGCGTGACGTAAGTCGTCTTGGAGGAGTTCAGAATCCCGAAGCTTTTCCTCAGTTTCGTCGTTGAGTGCTTCAAGTCGGGAAATTATTTCGTTCGACTGACGGAGTTGGTCGTCGGATTTTCCTAGCAAGGTCTGTAAGGTCTTAATCCCTTCCAAGTGGCTGTCCACTTCTGCTGTTACTCTTTTGAGACTTCCATGAGACCTTTTTGTTCGGATATCCATGGCGGAATCTCTTCTTTGTAGCAAGTATCGACGAAGTGATTCAACTTCATCTTGCAGATGTTGTTTCTCCCTGCAGACGCGATCAAGGTTCGACTTCACAGTCGATGCTTGGCGCTTCAGCATACGCTCACCGGGTGCAGGTTTGCGGGGCCTGGATTCCTTCTCTTTTCCAGCGTCATCATCGTTCAAAGTGCCTAAAAGTTTAAGTATCGTGATGAGTTTTGTCAAATACAAATCGCGCAAATTACTTTCCCTGCCTGTCCCACGTTACTCGCCTTATACCTTCGCCACAAATATAAAGCCCATTTTTGCAGGCCAACTTGTCAAATTATGATATTCCTTAAGGAAGTTATCCCTGTGACAAAGGTTTTAAGCATGTGGTCATCATATAAACCAACCTCTATGGAGAGGCATGCTCGGAAAACCATATAATTTAACCTCAACATTTATAATGGTAATTGGACTGGGTGGAGTGCAATTTGTATAGGTAATCACATGATTTCGAGTGCAATTTGGAATAAATAAGCACGTGTAAATTTTTTTAAAGACTAACAAAATTGCATGAGCCCGTGGGGTGAGTGCAATTTGTGGTCTTTGAAAAAATTTACAAGTGCTTATTTATTCCAAATTGCACTTGACATTGACCAATCATTCTGACCAATCAGAATGTCTGGTTTGTTTCTTTCTTTGCACTGAATTAACTGAAAACTGCATTCATGTTAACCAATCAGAACTGAGAAATTTTTCATGTCTATTATTAGGTCTGAAATCATGTGTGATTTCAAAATCAAACAAGCATGTTGCACGAATTGATTTCAGATCAGAACTTCTGACTCAAAGTTCAATTACCACTTTACTACATCTTTTTTACTACATCTGTTATTTTTACCCTTCTGTAAACCACTTCGTGACGTTGGCATCCTTATTAAAGATTACTTCTACAACAATAATCAGTCGCTCAATACAAGTTTATTTAGTCTGTGCCAACATTTTAGTGATCCGATATATTGAGCTGGTTTGCAGAATGTTGCAAAAGTTATCTGTCATTTTCCTGCAATTGGATGATTTGTTTGAACAAGCCTTTAAATTTGATTGGTTGTTGTGTTTTAGTAATGCTGTCTTATTGGCTGGGAAAAAAGATGAGATTTAGGGCATAAAATGGTGTGGTTTGTTCATAAATCGCACCACTCTGAGGGCCAATCAGATTGCAAGGATCATAATTTATGTTAAAATGAATGTAATTACACCATTTTGAAGTCACATGCGATCCTTGTAATCTGATTGCATCTCATTGTTGCAATTTATTCACGAATTGCACCATTTTTTGCTCTAAATCACATCTTGCCACACCCAATGATGAAGCTTTACTAAAATGCAACAACCATTCAATTGCTTCAAGAAACAATCAAATTGCAGTAAAATTTAAAACAACTTTTGCACTTTTCTACAAACCAGCTCAGTACTGCATCAACAAGATATTTGTTCAGACGTAAAAAATCCTGTATCTGAGCGACGGAGGTTTGAGATTTCAAAATGGATACGATAAAGTGGTAATTGAATTTCGTGTCGTGCAATTTTAGTTTGAAATCATGATTTCAAATAAACCTCGTGCTGCGCATTCGTTTGATTTTGAAATCACGCGTAAGATTTCGGACCAAATTGTACTTCCCTCAGTTTAATTACCAGCAAGTATGGACTTGTGAAACTGACTGCGCTTCATGATGTCAAGAAGGAAACTAACCTTCCCAATGTTGTCTTAAAATGAGCTTAAAATCCTTACTTCCACGCCACCATTTTAAAATCTTGCTGGTAACCTAGCTGTTAAGCAGTGACTTAGAAGTCTTACTTTTTTTAATTTTTTTGTTTTTGTTTTTTCATCTTTCGGCGATCTGTTTGACCAATTAAGCTACACAAAAACGGCATTATTTACTCAATTAATGATTCCTTTCAAGATAGCCGTCTATCTCACCGTTTAAGTTGAATTCTGGGATGTCATCCGCATGTAGCTAGGTTTCTAAGTTCTCTTCAAGACGGCGGCCTCAGTAGTCAATTTTTCAGCACAAGTTTTGAACGATTAGGTTACTCTTTGGAATCTCAAAATTCGGTAGGTAAGAGTTTCATATGTATGGAAACTGGAGATGAAAATTATATAGTTTGGATTTGCATGAGGAGATTTTAAAAAGGGATTTTGTCTTTGTTTGTGAGGGAATGTGTTTTTCTTACCTGGGGCATTGCTGTCTCCTTTGGCCAGTCGTTCCTTGAGCTTTCCAAGGTCGTTTTCAATGGATGCCACTAAACTTGCCAGTTCCTTATCTTTAGCATTAGTTGTCTTCATATCCGGTTGCTTCTTCAACTCTGGATGACTTTCTGTAGAAGTTTGTTGAACGCTAACTTTTGGCTCTTCCTCGTCATCTGACGACGATGACACATCGGAATATTCCTCATTTGAAGTTGGTTCATTTGATTTGTTTTCGTCTTGTGTAAATGACTGCGCTTGCGCGATAATTTTGTCGAGAAGAGGCTGGGGTAGAGGAGATAGCGGTGACATTGGTTCGGTGTTTCGCATTTCAAGACATTTTAAAAGCGCTAGTTTCTCGTCCTGAATTTCCCTCAGGGAATCCTTTAGAGTGTCTCTATCCAGTTCACCACCCCTTAGCCGTGTTTGCAAGGAGTGTTTATCTTGCTTGGCTTTATCGGACAAGGCAGCATGTTCTTCTTCAAGTTTATCGTAATTTTCCTTAAGTGCATCAAACTCTTCGCATAACTTATCGAGACTTGATAACAGCTCTTCTTTTTCATCATTGGCTTCATTCAAACTAGATTTTAACTGCCTGTTCTCGGCTTTGACTTTTTTCAGAACCATCCAAGTTTTCTCATTCTCGTCGTCTTCGATTTCACTCTCAGTTTCCTCCTCCCCCTCTGTCCTCTGCTCTGAACTAAAACTGTAATCGGACTCTGACAAAGACAACTGAAATCGATACTTGAGTTGTTCTCTGCGAGAGATGGAGTCTGTATTACGAGAGATGGAATCCGTATTGCGTGAGATGGAGTCTGTATCGCGAGACATGGAGTCTGCATTGCGAGAACGTTCTACGACCTTTCGCTCATCTTGAATTTCATCGTCGTCAATTTCAGATTCGGAGTCGCTCTCCTCTCCGTCGTTTCCTTCTTCTACCACATCATCCACCTGATGCCCAGAATGAAAGTTTAAGATACTCATCAGAAGAGTTTGTTTTTCTTCTTGAAGTCTTACAACTTCGTCTTCTAAATCGATGACTTTTTTCTCAGCTTCCTCTAGGTTAGACCCCAATTTCTCCAATTCTTTGCTCTGCTGGTTTGTCGATTGCAAGTTTTGTACGTCCTCTCTGTAACAAAGCACGTACTTGAGGTACTTTGCTTCGCGTCGTAGCTCCTTCATCTCCTCGACAGCCTCATTTCTCTCGCCTTCTAACTTTTCGAAAGAATCTTGACGTGAGTCCAGAGTAGATTTTAGACTTGCTAATTGCTCTTGAAGGCTAGCACACCCTGAACAATCAGACCCTCTGCTTGGCGGAGTTGAAGGCAATTCATGGTCTGCGCGGCTCTCTTGTTGCTCGACGCTTGTTTTTGTCGCAACATCGTTGACTTCAGAAATTCTATTTTTTAAACACTCTACTAAAAGTTTGCTCTCTTCAAGTTCTCGTAGAAGCAAGTCTTTTGATCCAACCTCGTCACACTGTGTGTCTTTATCTAAGGTTTCAGTGTTATCAAATACTTGCGTTTCCTTCTCGGCTTTTTCGCTCTTTTCTTTCTCCAAACCACTGATAACCTGTTCCAAACCATTGACGCAATTTCGCATGGTACCGACGAGTTCAATTCCATTTTCAACAATCTGTGATTGCAAACATTTATTTTCCTCTTTCAGCTGTCGAACAGAATCTTTTAGTGATTGCAAACCTCGCAAAAGTGTTGCAATTTTTTTCTTTGATAGTCCATCTTGCAATACCAGCTCGACATTCGAAGCAGTTAATTTTTCGATGTTTTCGACGTATTGTGCAATTGATTTCGTTTTGTCCTCGTTTTCCTGCGTCAGAGTAGATTTCAATTCTTCCAGTGTTCTTTTGTGAGCACCTAGTTTTTTTATCTCCACCTGGCTCGTTTCCAGGGCCATTTTCAATTGATCGCGTTCAGCCTTTGAGCTACTCATTTCCTCTTTGAGCTTTGCCGAAGACGATTTCAACCTTTCAAGTTCACGTGCTTTTTTCTCGTTTTCCTGGATAACTTCGTTGACCTGCTTCTGTAAATGAAGTTTTTCTTTTTCTAAGAGTGGTACAACGGCGAGACGGTGTTCCATCCCTTGTAATTTCGTCTTAAGCTCAGCATTTTCATTCTCGAGTTCTTTAACTTTATTCTTCATTGCTTCTAAGTCAGACTTAGATATTCCTGCTGAGAAAAAAATCCCAGGTAAGAAAATCCCTATCTTCGAATATCCTCCAAACTACATGTACTCCAACATTTCCCTGAAAACCGTGCTGCGTTACATGAGCGGAGCTCAAAAAGGGGGGGGTGTAGGGGTCTGCTCCACTTCCCCTCTCCTTTTTAATCCTCTACACTCTTACGTCGGTTTGCAAATTCTCCATACTGTTCTCCATACATTCCCTTAAGTGCTTACAAGGAGAATTTGTTAAACAATCAGCAGCTTCCTTAGTTGGTGATCAGTAGCTTTATTCTCTTGACCTTGATCTGTGATTCAGGTGTGATATTGTAAGGAGAAATGCAAGTTACTCTTAGGGGTAAAAGGCCAGAGATTGTGATGTTATCTCACAGTTACTATCCGTTTGTTTGTCCTTCTGTCTGTCCGTCTGCCTGTCTGTCTGTGTCTGTCTGTTTGTCTGTCTGTCTGTCCGTCTGTCCATCTTTCTGTCTGTCTATCTGTCTGTCCGTCCGTCCATCTTTCTGTCTGTCCGTCTGTCTGTGTCTGTATGTATGTCCGTCTGTGTCTCTGTCCGTCTGTCTGTCCGTCTGTGTGTCTATCTATCTGTCTGTCCGTCTGTCTGTCTGCCTGTCTGTTTGTGGGTCTCTCTTTCTACAGTCAGTTTTGTCTCTCTATCTGTCTGCCTCGCTGCCTGTCTGCCTGCTTCTGTGCCTGTCTGTCCATGGTATCTGTCTGCCGGTTCAACTACCTTTGTGTTTCTGTTTAATGGCTTGTTTTCTCGCACATACCTGTTTTGTGAACATCACTCGCGGCAGCTCCGATAGATTTCTTTTTTGCCTGTATTCTGCAAGACCCAAGCAAAAGATGAATTCAGTGACTGAAACTTTGTCAAGTTTCGTCACGAACAACTGCATTTGTAACAGTAATAGCCAGGTAAATGAACCTTCACGACCCAAATCAGGCAGCCGTCATAGCGGTCAGAGGCCTGTTTCTCGAAAGTCCCTAAAACTTAACCAAATCCATCTCTTAAAATCAGTAGAGGGAAGGTTCTGACACCCAGACCGATCCATTTTGTTTTATTTTCATTTAACTGATGATTTTATTGTATAATTTTCAAAGCATTTAAAACCCCCATCTTGTATGAAAAACTGAACTGTTTAACGGGTCCCTTAAACCCTTAAATTTACGGGACCTTCGAGAAACGGGCCTCAGGCCTTGTAGCGCAAAGGGCGGGATGATGCATTTAACCTGCTCGCGGGCAGACTAAATCACTGCTTACGGAATTATCTACCGGATAAAATAGTTTTAAATTAAGTGTCGAAAGTAATCCGACATCGTATTGCTTTGGCCTAATTCGCTTTGTGATTAGCGAGTCTGAATTTCAGCCGTTTCTTCCCTTTTTCCCAAGGGGCAAAGGGAAGAGACGACTGAAATTCAGACTACTTTGTGATTAGCTCAAAAAACTCACGGCCCCTTCAACTACTAAGATTAAAAAACAAGCTTCCTCCTTAATTTGTTCTTTTGTGACTTCTAATTGGTTCCTCACCCGTGATATTTCCCTATGTTTTGAATAGTGGTTGTGATTTCTTACTTTTTAGTTTTACGACGCTGAATTGAAAAGAGCATTAACCGGTTTATAACGTTACACCAACGTTGATAACCGACCTCGGGCCCATAACAAAAATTACCAAAATAACTTAAACATGGAAATTCAACGATGACTTAGTACTCGTAGTTAACTCACTTTTCGCCGATCAGAGGATCTGAATGAGGTCTACCGTGACTTTCTGGTTTTTTTAACTGACCCGTCTTGCGACCCTCGGCCCTAATGGCATCTTTCGGTGTCAGATGTCGTCTCGTCGTTCTTGGAGAGGAAGCAGGACTGACAGATTTTGGAGTTTCTGTGGGGCTGGACTGGGCACTTGAGGAACATGGAGTTAATTTTGTTTTATCCCCTGCCGTGAAGGACTTTGATCTTGGTTTACCTACAATGAACAAGAATAACTAATTTACTCTGATGATACTGCTAGAAATAAATTTAAAAGACACTTAAAAATATTCAATGCAGGGCAGTTATTTACTCGTTTCTTCCATCGCGTATCGTTACAAGAGTTTACGGTGTTGCAGCTTCCAATTTGCGTTAACTGAACTGCACCGTTTCGGAGCAGCTGCAGAAAATCTAAACTTAGTAATTGAAGTACAGTTTGAGGATTTATTGTGAAACCCCTCCCCTTTCCCCTCTCACTGTAAATACTTGATCCGCCTCTGATCAGAGAGATGCAGTAAACTTACGCATTGAAATTAACGATAACCTAATTATAAATTTCCACGTCTCACGTCTGCCCCTCGACTGTGAAGTTTGGAATACAAAGGAGCCTAATTTTCGTCACAAACGCAAAAATCGATATACACATTCGCACAGAGATATCTAATTTTGATTTCACTATACAATGAAAAAGTTTATCTTAGTTCTTTGTATCTTTGTTGATAAACAGAAGCTGTGTCTCTTTCTAAGTTTGGTTAGGAGAACAACCTTGACCTGTTTAAGTTAAAGATTTCTTCGTCCTTTCCGAAAATAGTCTCCGTCAGATTTTATTCTTAAATCCTTTCACTATAGTCACGACTCGTCAAATACTGATAAATACATTGTAGGAGTTCCGGCTCAAATTTTTTCTTTGATCGAAAATTTTTTTTCAAACCAGTTTGGATTTTTAATTCACTTTATTTCGAATCACTGGCCACGATCTACGACGTAGACAAACAGAAAATATACAGGCTATAGAATTTTTAAACCAAGAAGAAATTTGAACCGCAACATATACCAGACATCCTTTACTCCGCAGACAGTCTACATTAAAATCAAAATATATGCAATATTTCTCGATGTCGCGATCGAGTTCAGGAAATGCGTTTGTAGAGTTTCTAAGACACTACAGTCAAGTTTGGTGAAACAAACATGTCCGTTACAATAAAATGCATGGTTTTCTTCAGTCTTGATACAATGGCAGCAATGATTTAAGGTTCTTACGTAAAGGAAGCAGACAAAGAAGCGAACCGAAGAAAAACGGCAAGTATTAACAAACAGTGAATAAAAATGAGTGCAAATATTATACTGTTGATGGATAAACTGACACTAACAATCAAGACATCATCAGGTATGCGAAAGAAAATCATCTCCTAATCGTATGGCCGGAAGGTGCCGTCTCTGTGAGCCATATTACATTCATTTGTTTCATTATTTTGTTCAATTAAAGACTGAATGAGTGATTAAATGGTTTCCCTCGGTTTCAAAGTCGTTCATTACCTCCGTAACACTTGAACAAATATAAATCTTATCCACATAGTTCTTTCCATAACCTTTCAATTCACTAAATCAACACAGAAAAACATACCAAACATGTTACTATCAGCCCTCGGATCATGCAATGAACGTAGAGTAATTCCAACACGATGTTACAATGTTACCCTTGATTAGTCGTAAAACAAGTCAGTTGTGGAGCGACAGTGAGTAACTTTCTGCTCTATTTACAAGAGCAAGTAGCATTTAGCGCAAGAGAGCTGAAAAATGAGACAGACATAAAGCCTAGCGGATGGAGTATTAGTTTACAGGCTATAAAAAATTATGAGTTTGTCTTGATTTCACGCGCTACTGACGTCAGAATGAGAAATATGTCAAAAATGTACTTTTCATTAAATATATTATCACGTCTAAACATTGCTTCAAAGTACTAAGTGAGGATCTTAAAAACTTAGCAATTTTAAGGAAAATTGACTGCAAATCTACCGTTCCCACTAAACAGTCTATTGGAAGAGCTATCTCTAAAGATATAATAGGTCACGCATGACATCACGCCATCATAGCTTTGATTAATACCTGAGACATTTACATACGGGCTTCTCTGACGGTTAAAGCTGACACAAAATAATTCTGTGGCGTGTTTGAAAGGGTCTTTAGAACCAAAAAAGTCGACTTGGTCGCAATTTTTCGGTCGTTTCTGCATATTGTAAATCGCCACGAGTCAAACAGGTGTTGGACTAATGCCTAGAAGAATCATTGGGGCATAAAAGTGTAGAACTAACATGGATAACGAAAGATTCAGCCACATGTAAAATTTATCAGAGTCGGAATGTTGAAGGAGATGATCGGTGATCGGTCGGACTAACAGAGGAACATTTCAGCTTTTTAACACTCCAATTAACACATTACCTCCAAATGGTACTTTCAGAGCGGTCGAACTCGCAGCTTTGCCCGTAGGGTGTTTATGTTTACTAGCTTCTTTGCCCATGGTCTTGGGAGAATGTTCCTTGGCGGGCACTTGTTTATTATCCTTGATGTGATGATCTAAGGAATAAAATTAAAATCGTTGAGATACACTTTAGATTCTCTCTCGAGCAAGACCACCACTTGACAAACTTATTCACCTTCTGTAGAGCTACTGGTCACAATAACTTGTTGTGCGCGCTTTTATCACTATCGATGAACATATTTCTGTTTCGTTGGTATTTTTTGTCAGGCCGGGTCCGTAAAAGGGAAACACTCTGAACACTGTCACGCGATGTAATGCTATTTATCAGCGTTGTCAGTTAAATGCTGTTAATCCTTTCCTGATTTGTGTCTTGGAGGTATAAGGAACACTTTTGATTATTCACGAGAACTAATAAATGCAAAGTGAAGCATTATCAATGCTAATCATTATTCAAATACTATAATTTTTTTTCCGGCGCGCTCGACCGATTACGGAGTCACGGTGATATTGCAACCGAGATTACAAATTTACTTCACATTGACGCATTTCTCAACGAGCACGTACTGAGTTAACTGATACTGTCGTAAAAGAAAAAAAAAACGGTCTTTCGTGGAACAAAACTAGTCTTCACATTTTAGGCCCACAATGCAGAAACTCAATATGTCGAGTCATTCTCATTTTACAGAAAAGTTAAAATCGATTATCTTAAGATTTCCGCATTGTTGATATTGTACTCCACCTGGGAGTGAAAACATCACCAGAAGAAAAGTCCTTTTTAAATAATGGCTGGCTGTTTCATATAGTACATACCTCTGGTAGAAATTTTTCTTTTGCCTTGTGAGGGAGAGGCCGCAGAGGAAAGCGCACGCGGTTTATTCACAACTCCTCCATCCACCCTGTCTCCAGACACACCCTTACCATCATCCGGAGTTAACAACGAGCTGCTTCCCATCGGAAGTGATGGCTGCGAAGGCGACATTTTCTTCATATCAACGGAAGAATCGCCCTCTTTTTGTAGTGCCATTGGAGTTGATTCAAAAGCGCTCTGAGAATTAGGAGTCGTCAAATTCGATTCCATAATCATGGGAATTGAAACTTTGCGTGCCTCTACTGCTGCAGTGGGATCTTCAAGCGAGGAACTTGGTAGAAAATTTTTGTTGACAGAAGGCGAGACAGGGATGCTTTCGCCGTTTTCATTGACCTGAAATGGGACGCAGACTGAAACAGAAGATGCCCAGGCATCTGATTGCTGCTCTGCTCTGGGGGACTGCTGTTGGCTTTGAACTTGAAAAGGTATGGAAACCTTAACTGAATCAACCACAGACTTTGCACTTGTAGAAGAACTGCTTGGGGCGATGTCCTTTATACTAGTGTATGATGGAGAAATTGAAACAACCAGGGCTTCCATGCCATTTGCTGGCCATGATAAGTGTTTAGGCGCAGAATGCCGTCGCTCACAAAGTGAATGGATGTTTTTTTCCATTCGATTTTCATCTGCTCTCTGTGGTGGCCATCTTGCTAGTATTTTACTCACTTTCGTGCTTCCATCTATATTATTTCGTCCCACTTGTTGATGGTTTGCCTTTTCTCCTTCATTAATGCTCGAAGAAAATTTACCCGGCGTGCTGATCGATCTTGTTACAGAAACTTTGTCAGAAGTGAGCCTATTGTGATCCAATGTTGCGAGCTGATAACTGGAATGTGTAGTATCTCCATGTCTTGGCGTCTGCGAGTTGCCGCTTCCCGTTGATTCCAGGTCGACAATCATTGACTCTGTGTCTGGCCACTTTGGCTCTTCCGAGAATGGCTTCGAGGTACTTACATTTCCTTTCTGGTCATCACGCTGGCCATCTGCTTTGTCGCCAAGGAGAAACTTCTCCTGAGTTTGTCGTTTTGTCAGCACTGATAAAATAGTAGATCGCGCTTTTTTCTTGAGGATGTTTCCATTATTTGGGAAAACTGATTGCTTTGAAGGGGCTGAAAAGGTAGAGGGAAAAAGTGAGAAAACTTTTGAACGGAACAAATCAGTTATTGAGTTGTTTTTTTACTCTCGTGTATGGAGAATATTGATTGAGTTTCGTAAAACTGAATCCAAGGGCCAATCAGAAGAGAGAATATACCTTTTGGAGCCAATAAAAACTTAAAGTAAAACAAAACCAAACTGCCGAAAACGCGGGAAAACGCGGGTGACCGACCGAGTAGTGATTGGTTTTAGTTTTGCATGATCTGATTAGTTGAAAGAATGACGCGAGTGTTTTATTTTGGACCAATTACGAGAGGCAAAAACAAAGCAATCCCGCATTAAATTCGACTTCTCTATCTCACATTTAGGATTAAACTCTAACGAAATTTCTTAACTTTTAGAAATGTTTACGGTTTTGAAATTTTTAGTAGCTTGCTTGTTTATTTAGCTATTTAAATGTGTGGATACTTTCTGCGGCGTTTACGAATTTTCGTGCTGTCTTGGTATTTATTACCGGCGGAGTTCACTTATGGACATAACTGTCGTTCGGGAAGGTAAATCAATCATAAAAATCCACAGTTCTTATCCATAATTCTCTTTCCTGGGCTCTATCGATTTCTTTGTTTCTTAGTTAAGAGAGATTTTGATTTCTTTAATCACCTGTTATTTTTTCACCGCACGAGGTGAGGTGAAATATTACGAGACTTTTAAGCTATATTGGTTTGTACTTTTTGAGATTAGGGTTCATTTAACGTTCCGTCAGAACAATGATAATAATAGTAATAATGATAATAATAATAATAATAATAATAATAATAATAATAATAACAAGGGAGTTTATGTTCTCGGTAATAAATATGTCTTAGGTCCGACTCAGAGTCATTTTGGCTCGAGCCGCAAGGCAAGGTTTAAAGTGACTCTAGGAACATATTTATGTTAGCGAACATAAACTGTATTACTATTATTAACACTTTGGAGGGCATCAAGAAAATAAAAACTGGAGAGATAATTGTTACCACCATGCAAGCGGCTAAAAATGGTCCGCAATACCTGACAAAGTGATCCTTACCTTTCTCGGGCTTGGAATTAAACTGCGACTTGGTGAACATGGCAGCAAATCTTTAAGATTACTTGTTTACAGAGAAAGCTTTTCCTTGCGATAAAGAAGAACAGAAACAAGTTTCGTCAGTAAATAATTACCTACCAGCCTTTTTGCCTAACTAAACCTTGCAAATTATGGCTAAACGAAATCAAAACTGAATTTCATTCCTGCTTAACATGATTTCAGTTTCGCTGTTGACTAAAAACATTAAAATTGCCGGTCAAAACCATACCCCTGGAAGCTGTTTCTCACTGGAAATAGCGCTGGAAAGAAATAAGGTAATTTTCGATTGCCTTCATCTCCAACAAAACTGTAAAGCTCATAGGCTTAGCAGAACCTGGCTAAACTTCAGAATACCCGGCAACTCATTTACATGTCATTAAATAAGGATAGCGTCTATTGTGTTATGCCTCATTCTTCAAAGCCTCCCGACACATGTAAATGATGTGGACGGGTATTCTGAAGTTGCTCCGAACCTTCTTCTTGAGTATGCAAACCAACGCGATTCACTACGTTGAGTATTCCTAAATTTGGCGATGTTAATTAATGTGCATTTTTAACCCTACGTAACTGGCTGTTTTGAGAGTATTCCTCTAAACTAAGGGCGCTCAAGCCGCGATACGCGCAGCGAAGGTGCTCGTCGCTTCGAAATTTTCTCTGTTCCATTTGTTTGACCGCTTCACTTCTCCAAAATCCCACAAAATCGCTTGCAACGCAAGTTCGTCAGCGTGGGTGTCAATTGCGTAATTAGGCCGAATAACATAACACTCAAGTTAACACCTAAGCGCTTTAGTTTATCATCCACTTTAATTTTTTAGAAAAAAAAAATGGGTCGTGATTAAGAAGTCGAATGCTATAATTAATAGACTGAATACAAACTCTTAAGATTCTAATAATAGCGATAAACTCCGTTCAAATTTATCAAAATTCTCAAGGGACCCACAAAGGCTGGATCCAGGACTGAAAATATGTCTACCTGTGCAGTATCTTTGGAAAAAAAAACTCAATAAACAAATGATTTCTCTTCAGACCACACAATGAATATGAGCACATTGGAAAATATTGACAGACAAAAAGTCAATTATATCGCAAGTTGAATTTAATGAAGCACACTTTTTAACCGGTGAGGCAAGCAAGACCAAATGAACAGGCAAACAACTTGTTGACAATGGGCATAGCATCGAACGTAGTAAGATTAGTAAGTGTCGGCTAGGCGGACTTACCTTTAAATGGCTATAAATGGCTTCATAAATCACCTTTTATCAGCAGACCTGAGGAAGATTAGCGCTACTTCTAACAAGAAACGACAGAACAAGGAACACTTACAAATTAATCTTTAAAATGACAGAGCGTACACAAATGAGCGCGTAGTAGGGAAATGTGGCGAGTTGAAATTCTGTGATGAAAACATTTATTGGAGAGCTTTTCAAGAAAATGACATTTGCACAAATGGCTGTTGACCACAACGTTCATCCAATTTTGCCATTTTGGTTACAAAATACACGTAAATGATTAGGCATCCTCTTAAAAGAGGCCGTTGCCTTCTCTTGTATACTTGGTGTGTTTGCATGATACATTATACCAACGATTGGTCGCAATCATGGAAATTTACTTTGCAACAATCAATTTAAGTTTGACAAGAATTGCAAAATTTGAATTGGTACTTAGAATTTCAGGATAACGTAAATAAACCGTGCTGCGACATTAAGTAAGATTCTCGGGCAGTTTGGGTCGCTTGAAATGTTTTGGTTGTTGACATCGACAAGTACAATGTACATAATTTCATGACTTGTTTCGTTCATAAACAGGACAGCTCATTTGCGTCTGACAGCATCTCTCCAATGAATCAAATGCGCCAAAATATCATCAAATATCGCTGAATGGATGGATAAATCATCAAAACTCGGCATCGAACGAATGATTCCGTTTCTTTCACCGCTCTATCGTGACCGTATAACTTCTACAGCAAAAATGAAAATGACCAGACAGTCGAAAAGATGAAGGATGTTGCATTATAGAAGAATCCAAGGACTTAGAGAGAAAATTACTCCCCAGATAACAGATATAAATGTCATACTGCAAGAAACTGTTGCGAGATAGCAGGATCAACAAAGCGTACAAGCCTGAACTTGGTTATAATATAAGATACATTTTCAAAGGATAACAATCTAAAACCAACCGCAATTGCAAGAAGAAGGTAAGTGAAAAGTGGTTACGTACCCCGGTGGTTGTTATACAGCTCAGGCACACCATCCAAACTGGAGATGTAACTTTTAGCGACGATCAATCGAAATCCACTCACGAGAAACCTGTTCAAGAGTGCGTCGGATTATGCTTCAGTGCCCTCGATTGCGAAAGTTTTTTGAATTTAAATGACCCTGGGGATTGTGCTTCTGTGCACTCCAAACAGAGGGCCTCAAATTGTTCAAAACCCCAGTTGGAAATTCTTGGCTATGCCATAAGCTGTCTGGCTCATTGTCAAAGGTTATTGCAATTTTGCACACAGCGGGTATCCCTTATGACATGGAATGAAAAGAATGCAATAATATACAGCCTCTCAATGATATTGTTCACCTGAAAGAAAAGCATGCATAACAGCCCAAAGTTTTCTGTCAAAACAAATTCAGTTAGGATCATTTCTACACACGAATGCAACGGTGACAAAGCTGAACACCATTCAATCATCAACATAAGCGAAGTGATTGCTGATGATTTGAATATTATTTTCTAGCAGATATCACTCCAGTGATTCGCTTTGAAATTTTGAAAAAGCACAAAAATCGCAAAATTTATTATCACAAAATCGATCATAATCAATTATTTCTCTCGGAAAAAGCCAGGGTTGATGAAACTGAGGTTGGTTCGCTTCTTCCCTCTAAACAAGGACGTTCTAGGTTTTGTAGAAAAAAGCGGATTATCTTTTACGAACAAAGTGGCGGAAATGAGGTAAATAAATCCTTTCAACACGTTAGCCGTGTGGATTGAAGAGCTCTCCTTTTGTGACCTTGCTTAACATGACAGGCTTGGTTTCCGCTGCTACCCAATTTACAAACATTACGATGAATTCATGTTAGAGTGCGGTCAAAAGGCGCTGACGGTTTTATTTTTAGTGGTTTTTATGCCCCTGTGCTCCCAGATCTCGGTAACTCGGCTGAAAATTTCCTACATCAAACATACTTTGGCCGAGTAAAAATTGAATTTTTGAGTGCAGGATTTAAGAGAAATTGACATCATTCACAAGACACAGATATTACTTGTAAACGAACCTCTTCGCGGCCCAGCTGGATTAAGCATAACTCTTCCAAATCCTATCTCATTATTTTTCTTTTCATCCTCTCTTTCATCTTTTTATACCTCAGTTCCTTGATGGATCGGCACTATCTCAAATTTCTTGTTCATTTGCCTGATAAAGTACAAAATACACCCAATTATTTCTCAACAAGCGACTCTCCCTGCTGTCTGGAGAGTCTGCCTGTGAACTTGAGCATTTTCGCAATAAAGTGAGGACTAAAGCTACGACACTTGTTTTCCCTAAATAAGACAAAAAAAAAATGCATAGTATCATTTTGAATACTAATTGTGAGGTTCACGACATGTTGATTTGCATTGCAAATATATGTACTCTCATATGATATTCATATGCGTGAGGTCAGGCCGATCTTTGAACACACGTGGAGCTCAAAACTACACCAGCTTGCTTTAAATTACAGTTTTGGTTGGACAACCCATCGCCCATCGAGGCCATGGCCTTATTAACGGTTCTCACGGCTGACGGCTTAAACGTTGGTGATATTGGATATGGTTTTTTTTTGTGTGTGTGTGCAACTGTCCTCGCACGTGAGTTTTAATGAGTCAAGTTTTGAAGTGACAGACGTCTAGTCTTCCCCAAGCTTGTGTAAGTTATCCAGTTTCGTTCTTCTACACTTTGAAATAAGTTATCTCTAATTTGTTTGCTTTCCGCAGGCTTCGTCTTACTCTTCATATCGAATCTCTCCGCCCAGTCTGTCCGGAAGAGGAATCGCTTTCAGGCAACAGCTTATTAGATCTTTTGGGCAGCCTCAATATCTCCTTAGTAATTCTCCTTAATGTCTGTCATACAATTTTTTTATGATGTTGATTTGGAGAATTTAGCATTGGATCAACTGATAATTCCCTTATTGATATTTTTCTTTATTCCCATCACTTATCTGATTGATATTGTATTGATATCGTAAGGAGAAATTCTGCCTTGGTCACTCGTGAGAGTTCAGGGGTTAGTATTAAAGGACATCTATCGCTAAATCTGTTGCTCAGTGGTTTTTATGAGCACTGCAAACGAATTTAGGTATTTGAAGTATACTAGTTTAGTATTCATCGGCGAAAGGAATAAATGAAACAAAAATGGTGTTGTTTCAGAACTGCTTGAAGTGGGAACATCATTTAATGGGGGCTGTAATCCTAATAACATGAGGTAGCTGATCGTTGTTAACAA